TTTAGAAAAAAAATTGCTAATTGAGTAAATGTCGAAATCAGTGCTACCAACCTGATGAAAACTTAAATATGGAGAAGATAGAGAGTAAATTCAATTCAGTGTTGCCAATATTAGGAAAAGAATTGAAATATCTAGATACAAAAATTACGATGTGTGATTAAGATCATACGACAGAAATGAAAACTTCAAAACAATTAGAAACGTAGGTTAAATAAACAAACATCACATATGCTCAACCATTGCCGCCATATTAACGCCTGGCATTTCTGCTTTGGAACAAAGTTGTTTGAAAGAGAGAGGTTGCCTGATAACTTATATGACGTCATCTGTATGCCAAGTGTAGCGAAATCAATCTTCAATAAAGTTCTTGTTAACAAACAATAGCCTCAGACTGTACCACACAAAAACAATATAATATTGACATTGACACAATCCAAGGTTTCTGTTAACTAACAAGGATTTAACTAAGGTTTGATTTAGCCGCAATAAACATAATGTAAATCTCCATACGAACCACCTAATGACGTCATCTGTTTGGTGGTTTACTATTACCAGACAACTGTTTATAAGCAATCAACATTTTTACAATCATATCGGTAACGTCACCGAAATTCGTCCTAACAGAATAGACCTATCTATTTTCACCTGATATGCGCGCGCAACACGAGGCAATGCATTTTTATTGGTTAACTAATTCAGGCGTGAGGTGTTCGTTTTGCACGCTAGGCATCTCCTTGTCCTTGTTCATTGTCCGTGGTTTGACAAGAATAAAAGTACGGGTGATGTTCAGCTTAACATAGCTTGACAAGTGACATTCAAAAGTTGGTTGAAATTTTCATTGTCAAATTTGTTGCGGTCTTTTTCCTTTCCTTTTTATCCCGTGCACATAAGAAAAACGTAAGTAAGTCTAACATAATTTGGTACGTTTTGCCTCGTCTTGCGCAATGAACGTTCTCTGTCTCTTTTTTTATTTAATGAAGTTTTCGCATTATTACCTCTTTGTCTGGTAAAATAGATAGTTCTATTCTCGATTGAATCCGAATCGCGCTATCTCTCTCTCTCTCTCGCTTAGCTGAACTTGACTAGGAACGTAGGTTAAAGATGACGTCATCAGCTGGTTCTCATGGATATTTGCATTATGTTTAGGCTTTCAGGTGACGTCATTAAAGCTATCAGGCCACCTACCTCTTCTTAGATCAATAAACAAACTACACACATGCTCGACAATTGCCGCGATATTGAATCCTGACATTTGTGGTTTGGTTTGGATCAAGGTTGTTTGAATGAAAGAAGTTGCCTGATAACTTCTATGACGTCATCTGCATGCCTGAACATAATGGCTGTATTTAACGGGACTTAGGCGTGTTAGCGCTTGCAAGCGCTTTCGGCTAATTGACTGATAAACGACTAGTTAGCGCAAAAGCGCCTGTCAGCCTACTTAACTCATTTGAAAAGTGCTATTTTTAGTTAGCTGTTGTTAGCGTGAAATGTCTAATCTACCCTACCCCTAATCCAACATTACATATTTTTTCTTTTGGTTTTTGGTTAATGTTGGTGAGAGCTGCTTTATTTTCGAATTTTTGACATGAATATTCAAAATTATAGAAATGCTGATGTCATTAAACACAAAATTCTTAATTAGGGTTTTGTTAGGTTATGTTTAGGGTTTAGAAAATATCTTGATCATTCAACGGCTACAGTTTTACGCTAAGTCCCGTTAAACACTGCAAATCTTCATAAGAACTACTTGATGACGTCATGTGTTTGCTATTATCAAACAACTTTTTACAAGTAATTAAAATTTTGTTGATGACGTTGCTGAAATTTGTTCTAGAGGGGGGGAGCTCTATTGAAAACCAATCACGCTATCTTTCGTTTTCGCACTGCTGAGTGTTTTTCTCTCTCGCTTAGCTGAACTCGACTCGAAACGAAGGTAAAAGATGATGTCATCAGGTGGTTTTCATGGATATTTGCATTAGGTTTAGGCTTTCAGATGACGTCATAAAAGCTATCAGGTAACCTACCTTTTTTTAACAAGCTTGGGTTAATGAACAAACCACACAGATGCTTGATAATTGGCGCCATATTGAATCCTATCAGTGCGGTTTGGATCAAGGTGGTTTAAAAGAGGAAGGTTGCAACACCTGAAAATGGCATCTTTCAACCAATAAGCGGCATTGTTTATGTTTCAAAGTTGACAATGTCAGATTCTATTTTGGGAAAAAATAAAGTGTAGGTAACCTTCTTCTTTTAAATAATCTTATGGCGTTTCCGATTGGTAGATCTACTGCGGAACTAATGCAATTTTTCTATTTCTGTCTTTTTCTTCTACAGGTTGAATAAAAGGATGCAAATATACTCAGTGCGCACTAAAACTATCAATCGGAAATGCCATTAGGTTAATACGAGATTATTTGAAAGAGCTAGGTTGCCTGATGATTTTTATGACGTCATCCAGGATGCCTCAACATAATACAAATCTCCATAAGGCACCTCAGATGCGTCATTAAGTTACTCATTACCAGACAACTTCAAGAACTTTGAGGTTAATAAACAAACATTACAGATGTTTGATGATTGCCGCCATACTGATTCATCAAGGTTGTTTAAAACAAAGAGGTTATCTGATAAATTCTATGACGTCATCTGTATGCCCTGACATAATAAGGATGATACACACGATTACTACAGGATGACCTGTGTGGTGTGTAATAAATCCTTCCTCTCCCCCCTTCGCCAAATTACCAGTTGTGACATAGGCAGCATGTTATTTCTCACCTTGACGTAGGCGGTTTAAACAACTGACGACTTAGTTATGACGTCGGAAATAGTAACACACCAATATGGCGGCGATTACCAAAAATGAGGTCGATAAACAATCTTGTAGGTGTGTATCATCCTTGCTAACATAATGCAAATCTTCATAAGAATTATCTAGTGACGTCATCTGTTTGCTATCACCAAACAACTCATCACAAACAATTAAAGGCGATTTCGCCTTAGTTTGGTACCCCAATTTGGTCTGTCAAACAGGTATAATTCAATTTCGGATGGGTGAATGATGCTGTCACAACAACAACTTTGGTAGGCCCTTTGGTCTGTCAGATGCTATACCGCGGTTTGACTGGGTAGTGGAGGTTTGGTAGCTTTCTGTTTCTTTTTCTCTCATGTCCAAATAAATATGTCAAAGTCAAAATGTACCAAACGCCCTATCCACTGAATTCGGATGAGATTGTTGAGCTACGTCACTTACGTACCAATTGGTTAACCATTCGCCTACCAAACAGCAGATGAAAATCTGCGGCGAAATCGCCTTAAGATTTTACTAGAGATATCAGTAACGTCGCCGAAATGAAAACTTCAAACGTCAAGTAGGTTAAATGAACAAACATTACAAATGCTTGACAATTGCCGCCATATTGAATCCTGGTAGTTGTAGTTTGGATCAAGGATGTTTGAAGGAAACAGGTTGCCTGAAAACTTCTATGACGTCAAAAACGACAGAGAAATGTGTCAAAAAATCTGAACAGTGTTGCCAACGGTAAAAAAAGAACAATTTTTCCAAAAATTGATCTAAAGGCGGGTATTATAAAACTATTTTGATAGAATAACTAAAAGTTAACTGTTGGAATGACGTTACTTTTCATAGTTATTCCCGAAGTTAACTGTCAAAATAGTGCAATGTTGTCAATGTTTTGGAAAGAAAATGGTTCAGTTAATGTCGAAATTAGTGCTGCCAACCTTATGAAAACCAAAATATGGAGAAAATAGAGAGTAAATTCAGTGTTGTCAACAATAAAAGAAATCAATTTGATTTAATTTAAAATAACTCGTTACTGTCAAATTTAGTGCTGAAATATAAATGAGTGTTGTCAACGTTATAAAAAAAGAACAATTTCCCTAGAAATTCTTCTGAGATTTGCATTGAGAAGATTTGTAACAAAAATAAAGCAATGTTGTCAATATGTTTGGAAAAAAATGGTTGAATTTATGTCAAAATCAGTGCTGCCATCCCTAGGAAAAATAAATTATGAAGAAAATAGACAAGAAATTCAGAGTTGTTAACAATAAAAAAATGAATTTAAAATAAGTAAAAAAGAAGAAGGTAAATCAATACACATGGTTAACTAATAATTATAATAGGTTGCTCGACAGGTAAATTAGATAACCGTCACTGATAAACCGGTCCTTAGAAACTCGTTTTGAAACAAGCAATGTTGCCAACTAAAAACTTGAAGTTGTCAAAGATAAATTCTTGTGAAAATCAGTGATACCAACCTTGTCAAATTTAAAATATGAAGCTGTATTGCCAACACCAAAAAAATAAAACCTAATAAAATGTTGTAGTCAGTAAGACAAAATGATTTCTTCTATAGATTGACAGCATTTACGTCATCAATCAAAAAACCTTCATTTCGCCTCATTATTAACAGACACATTTTCTCTCGGCTGGGGAAAAAAACAAACAGTCTCACGTCAAGATTTATTATGACAAGAGATCCGGAGTTCAGTTTTTACATCGGGAACACTTTATCGCACTCTTGGGGATTTTTAGGAGAGACAAAAATAAAATGTGTGAGTTTATTGAAGATTTTTGTTATTTAAGATTAATGATGTTGTCAAGAGACGTCAGTAATGCCAACTAAAAATTTCATAATAATGCAATGTTGCCAATATATATTATAAACACCAGTGTTTGAGCTCGTTAAAATGTATATTACAAAAAAGTCAGATATCAGTGTTGCCAACTGAATTTTTAAGAATAAACCAGATGGAAAATCCTTTTATCTCGATATAGTTAATCAGGCAAAATCCCCTTTAGGAAATATGGTCGGAAAAAGCAATAAAGAAAACCCTCGTATAAGAGGCAATTTTCTATTGGATTAGACTGAGGAGAGGATTTTTTGATGTTCGATTATAAAACTTTCTTTTCAAGTTAAATAGGTTGGCAACAATTTTAATTAAAACTTTCCAAAATCAATCAATCAACTTTGTTGCAGGTGAACATTAGCAATACGTGGATGTTGCCCGAAGAAGGATTTCCGGTATTCTACCGGTATTTCCGCGATCGCATTTCTTGGTACGAAGCAGACGCTGTTTGTCAGTTCCATCATGCCAACCTAGTCACAGGTAAGCTTCAATTAATACAATGTTGCCAAACAAGTTTTAAATTGTATACTTTTATGGAAACTTAATGGATTTTGTGGCCGTCAAATAGATTCGTAATTGAATTTCGCAAAGGGCTTTTCATGTAAATTGAAAATGTTGCAACTTGTGTAAAGTGTATAAGCCTTTATCGCCGATAATTCATTATAGATTTTCAATCAATGACAAATTTATGACTAATAGGTATTTATTTTATTAAGAGTATAAGTAGTACTTATGTGATGCGCATGGAACAAATAGAGATATTTTTGCTATCTCTATTGACGTCCTCTCTCTATTGATTTCAAAAAGAGAGAAGAAGACAGCAAATGCCATAGCGATAGGGATAACGATCTCTATCCGTTACAGAATACCATCCCTGGACATAGAACCCATGTATGAATTGATATAAATATTTACATATTTTTGAATAATTCAAACCTCGGTTTACCAGAATATTTAAGGAAATTTCTTTATCGATAAATACTTACAATGTGGTAAAAAGTAGTATAGCTTCTGCACCAAATACAAATCATGAAAATACCGACTGGTACCTGTTTCACCACTACGCGAGTAAGTTATTTTTCATTAATAATTGGTTGGTAAATTATATTTTTGTTTTTACTGTCACGGTTCACTTGGACGGACAGAGTTTAAGATTCTATAGACTATCACGGTTTATGAGTACGGATAGTTTTCGCTAAGATATTTATTTTTACAAAGTAAAGTTCTATAAATTGTCACGGTTGATGTGTACGGATAGTTTTCTCTAAGACATTTATTTCCACAAAGTTTAAAGTTCTATAGCTGTCACGGTTTACGTGTACGGATAGTTTCTCTTCTTATATTGGTTCATGTTTTAGTGTCACGAAAGAGTGTAAAGTTCTATAAACTGTTACGGTTCATGTGTACGGACAGTTTTCTCTAAGACATTTATTTCCACAAAGTTTAAAGTTCTATAGCTGTCACGGTTTACGTGTACGGATAGTTTCTCTTCTTATATTGGTTCATGTTTTAGTGTCACGAAAGAGTGTAAAGTTCTATAAACAGTTACGGTTCATGTGTACGGATAGTTCTCTCTTAGACATTCATTTCCACAAAGTTTAAAGTTCTATTGCTGTCACGGTTTACATGTACGGACAGTTTCTCTTCTTATATTGGTTCATGTTTTAGTGTCACGAAAGAGTGTAAAGTTCTATAAACTGTTACGGTTCATGTGTACGGATAGTTTTCTCTTGGACATTTATTTCCACAAAGTTTAAAGTTCTATAGCTGTCACGGTTTACGTGTACGGATAGTTTCTCTTCTTATATTGGTTCATGTTTTAGTGTCACGAAAGAGTGTTAAGTTCTATAAACTGTTACGGTTCATGTGTACGGATAGTTTTCTCTTGGACATTTATTTCCACAAAGTTTAAAGTTCTATAGCTGTCACGGTTTACGTGTACGGACAGTTTCTCTTCTTATATTGGTTCATGTTTTAATGTCACGAAAGAGTGTAAAGTTCTATAAACTGTTACGGTTCATGTGTACGGATAGTTTTCTCTGGGACATTTATTTCCACAAAGTTTAAAGTTCTATAGCTGTTACGGTTTACGTGTACGGATAGTTTCTCTTCTTATATTGGTTCATGTTTTAGTGTCACGAAAGAGTGTTAAGTTCTATAAACTGTTACGGTTCATGTGTACGGATAGTTTTCTCTTGGACATTTATTTCCACAAAGTTTAAAGTTCTATAGCTGTCACGGTTTACGTGTACGGACAGTTTCTCTTCTCATATTGGTTCATGTTTTAGTGTCACGAAAGAGTGTTAAGTTCTATAAAATGTTACGGTTCATGTGTACGGATAGTTTTCTCTTGGACATTTATTTCCACAAAGTTTAAAGTTCTATAGCTGTCACGGTTTACGTGTACGGACAGTTTCTCTTCTTATATTGGTTTATGTTTTAGTGTCACGAAAGAGTGTAAAGTTCTATAAACTGTTACGGTTCATGTGTACGGATATATTCTCTTGGACATTTATTTCCATAAAGTTTAAAGTTCTATAGCTGTCACGGTTTACGTGTACGGACAGTTTCTCTTCTTATATTGGTTTATGTTTTAGTGTCACAAAAGAGTGTAAAGTTCTATAAACTGTTACGGTTCATGTGTACAGATAGTTCTCTCTTAGACATTCATTTCCACAAAGTTTAAAGTTCTATTGCTGTCACGGTTTACATGTACGGACAGTTTCTCTTCTTATATTGGTTCATGTTTTAGTGTCACGAAAGAGTGTAAAGTTCTATAAACTGTTACGGTTCATGTGTACGGATAGTTTTCTCTTGGACATTTATTTCCACAAAGTTTAAAATTATATAGCTGTCACGCTTTACGTGTACGGACAGTTTCTCTTCTTATATTGGTTCATGTTTTAGTGTCACGAAAGAGTGTAAAGTTCTATAAACTGTTACGGTTCATGTGTACGGATAGTTTTCTCTTGGACATTTATTTCCACAAAGTTTAAAGTTCTATAGCTGTCACGGTTTACGTGTACGGACAGTTTCTCTTCTTATATTGGTTTATGTTTTAGTGTCACGAAAGGGTATAAAGTTTTATAAACTGTTACGGTTCATGTGTACGGATAGTTCTCTCTTAGACATTCATTTCCAAAAAGTTTAAAGTTCTATTGCTGTCACGGTTTACATGTACGGACAGTTTCTCTTCTTATATTGGTTCATGTTTTAGTGTCACGAAAGAGTGTTAAGTTCTATAAACTGTTACGGTTCATGTGTACGGATAGTTTTCTCTTGGACATTTATTTCCACAAAGTTTAAAGTTCTATAGCTGTCACGGTTTACGTGTACGGACAGTTTCTCTTCTTATATTGGTTCATGTTTTAGTGTCACGAAAGAGTGTTAAGTTCTATAAACTGTTACGGTTCATGTGTACGGATAGTTTTCTCTTGGACATTTATTTCCACAAAGTTTAAACTTCTATTGCTGTCACGGTTTACGTGTACGGGCAGTTTCTCTTCTTATAGTGGTTTATGTTTTAGTGTCACGAAAGGGTATAAAGTTTTATAAACTGTTACGGTTCATGTGTACGGATAGTTCTCTCTTAGACATTCATTTCCAAAAAGTTTAAAGTTCTATTGCTGTCACGGTTTACATGTACGGACAGTTTCTCTTCTTATATTGGTTCATGTTTTAGTGTCACGAAAGAGTGTTAAGTTCTATAAACTGTTACGGTTCATGTGTACGGATAGTTTTCTCTTGGACATTTATTTCCACAAAGTTTAAAGTTCTATAGCTGTCACGGTTTACGTGTACGGATAGTTTCTCTTCTTATATTGGTTCATGTTTTAGTGTCACGAAAGAGTGTTAAGTTCTATAAACTGTTACGGTTCATGTGTACGGATAGTTTTCTCTTGGACATTTATTTCCACAAAGTTTAAACTTCTATTGCTGTCACGGTTTACATGTACGGACAGTTTCTCTTCTTATATTGGTTCATGTTTTAGTGTCACGAAAGAGTGTTAAGTTCTATAAACTGTTACGGTTCATGTGTACGGATAGTTTCCTCTTGGACATTTATTTCCACAAAGTTTAAACTTCTATTGCTGTCACGGTTTACATGTACGGACAGTTTCTCTTCTTATATTGGTTCATGTTTTAGTGTCACGAAAGAGTGTAAAGTTCTATAAACTGTTACGGTTCATGTGTACGGATAGTTTTCTCTTGGACATTTATTTCCACAAAGTTTAAAGTTCTATAGCTGTCACGGTTTACGTGTACGGACAGTTTCTCTTCTTATATTGGTTTATGTTTTAGTGTCACGAAAGAGTGTAAAGTTCTATAAACTGTTACGGTTCATGTGTACGGATAGTTCTCTCTTAGACATTCATTTCCACAAAGTTTAAAGTTCTATAAACTGTTACGGTTCATGTGTACGGATAGTTTTCTCCAAGACATTTATTTCCACAAAGTTTAAAGTTCTATAGCTGTCACGGTTCACGTGTACGGACAGTTTCTCTTCTTATATTGGTTCATGTTTTAGTGTCACGAAAGAGTGTTAAGTTCTATAAACTGTTACGGTTCATGTGTACGGATAGTTTTCTCTTGGACATTTATTTCCATAAAGTTTAAAGTTCTATAGCTGTCACGGTTCACGTGTACGGACAGTTTCTCTTCTTATATTGGTTCATGTTTTAGTGCTACGACAGTATTAAGTTCTATTAACTGTCACGGTTCATGTGTACGAATAGTTTTCTCTTAGATATTATTTATACTGTCACGGTTCATGTGTACGGACAGGGCTTTATTTCCACCGCCACACAGTGGGCCAGAAACCCCTTGAAATATTGAATTATTCAAAAATATGAAATTGCAAATATCTTCGCAATTTTTTTTTATTATGGTTAAGTAGGCTATGGATCATCCCAAAACAATCGAATCTTATTGATGCGCTACCATGGAGACTCGTAAACGTGTACAAAAGTTTGACGTATTTGTTATTGTTAGCAGTTATTAATCAATGTTATCAAAAATCGGTCAAAACTTGTTGTTCGCGAATTACAAAATATTTTGTGATGAATAACTTTCAAGCAGGTAAGTCAATGATTCTTTTAAGCCATTAGTTTTCTGTCATTCATTTGGTGATGCGAGAATATTTTGAATTATTACATATTGGTGCAAATGTTTGTAACTAAATACATATTTAGTTATTTTAACCAGAAATAACTGAATGTTCTACACATGGATACATATTTGTTGATATCTAGTTTTTTTCTTTGACCTTATGACTTTTCATTAAAAAAAATAATTTGTGCAACTTTTTGCAACTTGTTGATTTATTGACGTTTCTATTTGCCTAGTATTTTACCTACAATATGGAACATATTAAAGTTCCTCAGTTTGTATCGCTAATAACTTTCGATGTGATTTGATTTTTTTTTGGCAGGTGGGTAGGTTTGTATGTTCCTGCAAAGTTGTCAAATTTTCATAAACAA